GAGCTCCTCACCTGAAACTCCTTTCACACTGTGTGTCAACTAACTAGAATTTAAATAAAAATTTTTAATAAAAACTTTTAAAAGAAAGAAAGAAGTCTTATGGAAGTTAGAGATAAGTAAGGCTCTGACTGCAGCTCACGCCGGGTCCGGTGGGCCCATGGACCGTCCTGCGGCCATTTCTCCGGTCAGAGTCTCCCCCGGGCTGACTGACTGCTGGAGTTAGAGGTTTAGAGCAGGAAGGATCAACTGGAAGTTTCTGGAAAAGCTCCTCCCTACATTCTCTGTGAAGACAGTCAATTAGAAGCAACAAACCCATACCACATCTGAAGGACTACAAAGAGCCGTCACCCTCGAAGACTTAAAAGCCAAAAAGGACGGGGCTCCCTTTCATGACCCCATCCAGCTTAGCACTGGCCCGTGTGGAAACCAAGTGAACCGCAGCGGGTGATGGCAGACTTCTGTCACCTCACGAGGCGTAGCACGCATCCCGGCGACAGGGTCCGACACAGTTGCTCCCCTGCAGCAAAACAACCAGCCCAGAACCTCGGCGTGCGGTGACGCAGGAGGAACGGTTGAGGACGTCACTAACCTACACCCAGAGGCTCTGAAAAGTGGAGTGTTCGCGGGTTTGTGCTTTGTTCTGGTTTTAAGCAAAGACCTAGCTTTTCTAGCCGGAGGCTTTGGGAAGAATTTAGCCTCCAACACTACAACAAACGGAAATAGACCTTTTTTCCTGGACCCAGTCCATGTCCTGAAGAGGCGCCGTGCTGGCCAGCAAACCCATGAGAGTGCGAGATCCGCTCCGCCGCGCAGGTCTCCGAGGTCTCATGCAAGCGACCCAGGCTTTTCCGAATCCTCACTTCCTGTCTGTGATAAAGGAAAACTCATGAATCTCCGAGGGTCTTCCTGAAGACGGACCAGCTACATCACCCAGCACTGAACCTGCCGCATGGAAAATACTGAAGAAATGACTGTTGCCTTTTCTTTCCTACATTCTCCTAAACCCAGAATTTTCGTCTTTGTTACTCTCCTTTCTCACAGGCTTATTTCTACGAAAAAAAAAAAAAAAAAAAAACCCCACCATACTGGTGAACCAACCCAAAAAATGTACCCGAATCCAAACTGAAAATACAGGAACGTTATTCTGTGTATCCATTATCATTAATGATAACGGCTATCGTAGGTCAGCATACATTATCACGCTTTCCAATATTTACGGGAAGCCCCGAAGCCACGACCCTGAGGTAGCTCTAACCTCTCCTTCGACACTTTGTCTCCTTAGTGGATAGTCATTTTCATGGCAAAAACTTGTGACCAAAAATCTTCCCCTACGTTACCAGGAGGGAAGTAAAATGGGTAAAAATTCAGCAGTAGGTCATCTTCCCGTCCAGAAGCAGTCGAAGTGGTGATGAAAGTGTGGGAAAGGAAGTCTGAGACTTTGTGCAAGAGCCCCGATCACGAGCCATATCGGGATTTCCAAGGAAAGGAGAAGTCGCACATTAACCATCAGGGTGTCATGACCCGGCTGGCCCAGGATCTTGGCTACAATCTGAGAATCAGAGGTCTTTGGATGCTGAAAAGCGATAGGTAACCAGTTTTCCCGGAATTGGGCCGTCTCTAGGCAGAGAGCCCTGTGTGTTTCTCGGGCTTGGTTACAGGACGCCCTGAACCAGAGACCGTGTCGCATCTGAAGGTCACCTGTGAGGGCAGGTGCAGCACGGCTGGCAACACGGACTCCATCGCCGGCCTCCCGGCGTGTTCTCCCCTGCGCTGCCTTCTGATAACTAACAAAGAGCCCCGTGGCTCACAGGTGCCCCCCCTTTGATAACTACCAGTGACCTCACCAACTCCCTGGTGACCTACTCACCTACCAGGCAAGGCCAGCGCGCCCCTCGCTGCTCCGTAAAAGTTGCGGAAGCGGGGGCAGAGTCAAGGCTGGGGAGAGCAGCCGACCGCCCCCCGGGGTCCTGCCCGCTGCCCCGGCCGTAAGTTACCCCGATTCCAGCTGTGGAAACGCCGGGGGCCTCACTTTGTTCGGGCGCTACAGCGCCTTCCCGTCTGGGGGCTGCGTTCGCGGGCCCGGCTCCACCGCTGACAGCCAGAAGCTGCAGGGACGCAGCAGCGAGACACGGGCCAGACGAGGAGCCTGGATCAGCGGGACGATGAGAGGCTGAGAGGAGAGTGGAAGCTGGAGGGCGAGCTGGAGGCCGTTTCAGGCGTCAGTCTCCAGAATGAGGGAAAGCGAACAAAAAGTGTCAAAAAATGTGAGAGAAAAGCTGTGGGAGAGAGCCCAGGTTCAGAAGCCAAGAGGCTTTTGGTAAAAATGTAAGTGGTAGCGGTTAGGATTCTTTTTATTTTTTATTTATTTATTTTTCTTTTCAGCGTAACAGTATTCATTGTTTTTGCACCACACCCAGTGCTCCATGCAATCCGTGCCCTCTCTAATACCCACCACCTGGTTCCCCCAACCTCCCAGCCCCCCACCTCTTCAAACCCCTCAGGTTGTTTTTCAGAGTCCACAGTCTCTCATGGTTCACCTCCCCTTCCAATTTCCCCCCAACTCCCTTCTCCTCTCCATTTCCCCATGTCCTCCATGTTATTTGTTATGCTCCACAGATCAGTGAGACCATATGATACTTGACTCTCTCTGCTTGACTTACTTCACTCAGCATCATCTCTTCCAGTCCCGTCCATGTTGCTACAAAAGTTGGATATTCATCTTTTTATTTCTTTTTAAGATTTTATTTTCTCCTTTGAGAGGGAGAGACAGGCACAAGCAGGGGGAACAGCCGGCAAAGGGAGAAGCAGGCTCCCCGCTGAGCAGGGAGCCGGACTCGGGGCTCGATCCCACGACCCTGACACCATGACCTGAGCAGAAGGCAGAGGCTTCCCCGGAGGAGGCCCGCAGGTGCGCGTGACGGTCAGCACCCTGGGTCATCCTTTGCCACTTGGCGGCCGGCTGGCCTCCCATCAGTAATCAATTTTCCCGCCCCGAGTCCACCCTGTTGGGTTGTTCTAAGCATTCGAGGGCCTGGCGTCCAGAGCTCGTACCTAGAAACATTTCAGCTTTTCTTTAAGGACCAATTCTATGCTTGCCCGAGCACGTGCACACTTCAATGTGCTCCACGTGAGGAATACCCTCCAGGCCAACCCGACGCCCCCGCCCAGGGTCCAGAACTGCGCGCAGGTGCGCCGGGTCGGTGTCGATCGCGCACCCGCCGGCTTCGCTCCTGCGAGAGCCGCTCCTCGTGTCAGTCACAACCACGGCTCGGCTTCCCGCGCGACGGCCCACCGCGTCATCCCCGCACCGCGAGAGCTGTCAGCGGGACGTGCCGACACCGACAGAACCGTGACTCTGATGGAGACCGGCGCCCCCAGCCTGGCCGGCTGGGTGCTGGCGAGCACTGACCGCAGCGCAGCCCACACGCTTCACCGGGGAAGATCCGGGAGCCGCGAAGAGAAGACCTGTCCCCCAGCAGAGGCCTGCATGACAGCCCACGAGTGAGGCTGCGTCCACCCCATTTTTGTTTAAGGATTTTATGTATCTATTTAGGTGAGAGAGAGAGTGAGAGAGCGAGAGAGGGGAGAGGGCCAGAGGGAGAAGCAGGCACCCCGCCGAGCAGGGAGCCCAATGCGCGACTTGATCCCGAGACTCCAGGATCATGACCTGAGCCCAAGGCAGTCGCTTAACCAACTGAGCCACCCAGGAGCCCATGTCCACCCCATTTTTACAGATGACGAAACAATGGCCCCCAAAAATGATATACTCGCTCCCTGTCCGCCTAGGCCGAGGGCTCAGGCCACGCTCAGGCCAAGGGCCATCCACGCCGCTGTGCCCGAGCTAACCCTGTGGCCACAGAACCACCTCCCCCTGGAAGCCCACCATGTGCAGTCGGCCAGCTTCTGCTCGGAGGTGCACTGAGGGACTGTCCTTGCACACTTGGGAACTGACCGTCCCGTGGCTTCAACGGGACACGTCCTTCAGGCACGGTGGAGTTAATTTCTCTCTAGTGAGAGAAAATCTGAGTGCTACTCTACAAAGATTTTAGGGTCCTCCATATTAGTAAGTGAATTTTGTAAAACTAAGTTACTGCAGACTTAGGATGCGAGAAACACCACCCTGGGCTGAGGAAAGGAGAGGGAATGCGAGGTGGACGTGCAGAGGTGAGTGGTCATGGGGAGGACTGGACATCACTCCCCATGACCAGTCCCCATCCATCCCCTCCTGGGCACTTGGGGCTGGGGGGGATGAGGACGAAAAGATTTTATTTAAGCGAAGAAGAAGAATGTATTTTTTAGTCTAATATGCAATTTGATTTGTTGCGAGGTAATGAGCTTTGTGGAGTGGTCACTGTGAGCAAGCCTACCTTTCCGGAGTGCCTGGTGTCCACTCAGAAGGAGTGGACAAGGCAGGACTGTCTGTGTGCTCCTTCCTTCCTCAGCAGACCCTCCTTTCCAGCACCTGCTTCCTCTGCTCAGTGCCCTCCTTCCCCAGGGACAGTAAATCTGACTGAAAATCAGTAAGGGTTGAGGTCTGGAGCTCAAGAAACGAAATCTCTCTTCTAGGATCTTCTAGAGAACAGCGCCCACAGTTAGACCAAAATTATATCTACACATTCCTAACCTGCTTATACTTGAGTTCAAAACCTAGTCTTTTTAGAAGGAAACTGCCTGCTTTCGAAATGTCTGCTCGGGCACCATTCTGCCAGGTCACCCGGCCATTTCTCAATACACACATGGAGGTGAAGAGTCCGTCCTTCCTCCTATGTGCAAATACAGAGACCAGTTCTTGGAAATCAGTCCTCCTTTCTTCATCTACGTTTAAAAGGGGAAGGCTTTACATTACATTTTTATGAATATTCTTGATGTTCATATTAAAAAGAAAACACATGTGAGAATCATGCTGTTCAGATAAAGCCCCGTCCCCCTATAAAGGACAGTCACCCAAGGGGAGACACAGAAGCTGACAGCAGGCGTTCTCTTGAGTAAGGACAATGAGAATGGAACATCTCGCCGTCCTCGTGCTGCTGTGTCTGCCCGTCTGCTCGGCATACCGACTGAATGGAGCCGTGAGCAAGGACTCAGACACAGATTTTGTGAAGGTACTTGGTGATGGTGGCCACCGCAGCCACGGCCCATCCCAGGGGTGGGAACAAATGTTCCAGCTTCATCTGGCAACCCGGAGGAGGCTTAGACTGGTGGTCCCTGTGTTGGAATGAGTTAGACCCGGGAAACCGGCTAGTGCTGGAGATGGGTTGTCGGTAGCTTTGAATGGAGAAGGGAAGCAAGGGGCAGGAAGGGCGTCGGACTCCTCCAGCTCATGTAAGAAGACCCTAGCAGCTGCTTTGGGGCCAAATGAGGGGAGCAAAGGAAAAATGCATGAAACGTCTCTGGCTTTAGAATTTCTTTGGTTGCAATAGGGAGGACAGACATACTCATTTTGATTTTCAAATAATTGTAGGTAATAATTTTCATATCATTACTTGTCATGTGTAGGCAGAAGAATTTATCCTACATCAGTCTTGAGCAAGGTCTATATTAACAGTATAAATTTCGACCCCCTTTCTGCCTTTAAAAACCCCCCCTGTTCTATAGCTGGATGGAACTCCTTTACACGTCTTAGATGGGTTGCTGACAACTCATGAACTGGTTAATAAGGCCAATTTGATATTTTATATTATTTTGTTGAGTTTCTGTTGTTTACTACCCCATTAGCAATACCTGGAAAAATACTACAAACTTGCAAAAGAGACAAAACCGTTTGTTAGAAGAAGGGACCATGGTCCGGTCGTTGAGAAAATCCGAGAAATGCAGAAGTTCCTCGGGTTGGAGGTGACGGGGAAGCTGGACACGGACACTCTGGAGATGATGCGTAAGCCCAGGTGTGGCGTTCCCGACGTCGGTGACTTCACCACCTTCCCTGGCATGCCCAAGTGGAGGAAAACCCACCTTACCTACAGGTAACGGGTCCAAAGAGGTTTTCACACACTACCCAGATTTTACTAATGACTATCACAGGAGAAAAGAACTTCTTCTTCGATTTTTCTCTTAAAGGATTATAAATTATACCTTGGATTTGCCAAGAGATGCTGTTGATTCTGCCATTGAGAAAGCCCTGAGCCTCTGGCAGGAGGTGACTCCACTGACCTTCTCCAGGGCTGATGAAGGAGAGGCTGACATAAAGATCTCCTTTGCAGTTAGAGGTAAAACAAAGAACAAAAAAACCCACAAAAACCATGAAATGCATCTATTTATCTAGGTGCTGTTGGGGGAGGGTATTCCAAAGAGATCTGAATTACCTATCTTTCCAATAAAAACACTTTCTCTGTTAGATCATGGAGACTTTAGCCCTTTTGATGGACCTGGAAATGTTTTGGGTCATGCCTACCGGCCCGGCCCCGGCATTTATGGAAATGTTCACTTTGACGACGATGAACTCTGGGTGGAGAATCAGTCAGGTGGGTCACCTACCTCTCGGGATGGCTTTGGGAGTAACGTCTACCACTATCCGAGAATACCTGGATCATTCAGAATGAGCAGTAAATGTAACATACTAATGACCATGATGTGGAATTCGGTCTGCGTTTCCTTCTTCGCTCCCAGCAAGTGCAAACCTGGAGGCACCATTCCATCTTACTTCCACGACTTAGGATCCCAAGGAGGTTTTAGAATGGGCATTTTCACAATGCTTTTGAAGATTTTAACTGGAAACGATAAAGGTAGAATGAATTGCATTGAATCACTTCCAACCTAAAATGTGCCCTTGGGTTTCTTCTTGTCTTTCCATTGGACTCTTTCTCTTAAAATATCAGCGAAAATGTCAGAAAATAAAGGAAATTGTTAAGTCCTCTATTTAAGTAAACCTGTAACTACCTCTAGCTTAGGAGCTTTATTTTTTTTTTCTTCCTAAGTTAATTCTGAAAGCTTTTACTAGGTCTAAACACAATGACTGAAGCTAACTACATTTTAGTTATTTTTTTCAAGTGGCTCCTGAAGTTTACAAACACACTGTTGAGAAAATTGCTATTTTCAAGATTGTTTGAATTTTTAATGCAAATGCAAAGAGCATCTTTACTGAGAGTAAAAAACTTGTGCTACAAGAAATGTTCTTGTTTTATTCAAACAACTATTCTTTTCTGCATAATTACCTGGAGGTTTGGTTAAATTATTTCTACTATTTCAATAAAAACGTTTATCATATAAAGAAAAGCTGAATTCAGCTGTCCTTGGGCTGCAGAAAGCTGTTATTGGACATATTTCTGTTTTAAACTAAAGATTGTGTCTATCCCTTTTGACACCTACTCTTGGAAAGGTTTTTAACCATCAAAAATTACTGGATTATTTTGAAAAGGAGGAAGAACAACCCTGGTTAAATCCCCACAGGAAATGACCAGTTTTTGTTGCATAAGAGTTTGAGGAATAACATAAATCCTCTGTGATTAATTTCAAATGAGGTTACCTCTGGCACATGTTACTAAATTTGAACAATAACCGACTTTGTATTTGTAGAGACAATGAAGATTCACACATGATGACATGGTAGTCTTGGTACCTCCAAAAAAATATCTTTTGGAAACAGTGTTTATCATTGTCACTATAGGTGAAGTGACCAGCTTTCCCTGACCAAAGAGAGACCTGGGAGGAGGAATATGGTAACTAGCTCTCATTATCTTGACTTCAAGTCAACCTTGAAGAATGATTAAGTAGGGCCTACGCCCATCAACGAGCCCGTCCACAAATAAGGAGATGCCCGGTGTTCTGAGGGTAGCCCGTATGACTGGCATGTATTCTTACATGTGTGTTTATGGAACAAACAGCTGTGATGTCTGATGTTTTTAGGAAAGTGTTCCAATGGTGGTCTTCGGGAGAGCTTGAAAACGCAGCACTACGCATTTGCAGCTCCTCTCAAAGCCCCTGAGAGTGTTGGGAAAGCACTCACGTGGATGATAGCATCACAGTCCCTCTGTTTGCCTCCCCACATCTGTTCCCTTCAGGATCTCCCCCTGTCTCCCCAGGTGGTCCCGTGGTGCCCACAGAATCTGTGACTTCAGGACCGGGGACCCCAGCCGCGTGCGACCCTGCTTTGTCCTTCGATGCGGTCAGCACCCTGAGGGGAGAAATCCTCTTCTTTAAGGACAGGTCAGACCGGAAGATTCCACTTCCCTCTCTCTTCTTCTGACGTTCAATGTTTAGAAAAGAGAATGGAGACTTGACAGAAACGTTTTGAGAAAATATTTCCTCTACATTTAACAGATCATTCAGGTCTGGCTCTTGTTGCATTTTATCATCTCCTTAGAATAGTGCGGATCGTGTTAAGGATGATTCTGGGTCCCTAGAACGTACGCTGGATGAAGGCATGGGGTTTTATGTGTGTGGTTCACTTTTAGGGCCCCCGGGCCTGGAGTGAGTTCAATTAGCTAATGAGTAATTGCTACATTTAAATCCCATCAGCCCCGTCGTGTTTCAGAAGGCACGGCTGCGTCTTTAGAAGTAGGAATGTATCTTTACCTTTGCTGACAAATGCTACTATTTAAATTAATTTCAGAAAAAGTGTTTCTGGCACAATATTAAAATAGCACCAAAAGACAGAGTGAAAAGAAAAATCCCTCTCCCACGTCTGACCTCTGCAGAGCCTCGTTCTCCCCATATGGGCGACCACCTCGACCCACCCTTTGTCCCTTTAAAAGATACTCTATTCTTTGGGGCGCCTGGGTGGCTCAGTGGGTTAAGCCTCTGCCTTCGGCTTAGGTCATGGTCTCAGGGTCCTGGGATCGAGCCCCGCATTGGGCTCTCTGCTCAGTGGGGAGCCTGTTTCCTCCTCTCTCTCTGCCTGCCTCTCTGCCTACTTGTGATCTCTGTCTGTCAAATAAATAAATAAAATCTTTAAAAAAAAAAAAAGATACTCTATTCCCATACAAACATAAGTAGGTGTACTTTTTCCCGCTACTTTTTTCAAAAATGTTAATGAGTGCAAAATATATCTATCATGGATGGGCTTTTAGAGTGCTGTTGGGGCCAAGTGATAGCTGCCCCAAAATGTGTCACTTGGGCATCTCGAATATTTTAAATGAAAGTCACTCAGGAGCCAGCCTGGGCAGGAGGGACACCGAGACCGACCTCTCTCTCCCTGAAAGCAGGGATTGAACGTTCAGGTGAAAGGGGCCCTCCCTGTGCCAGGAGGTAAAGACACGTCCTCATCACCGGAGATGGGGCATTTAGAGCTGAGAAGGCCGTGTCCACCGCCCTTGTGACCTGTTACTACTGGGCTCTGCCAGCCCGTCTGTTTACAATTCCTTAGCAGCCGAAGCTCCCAGAGTTACGTTTCCTTTATCCCGCCGGTGCCTCACAGCTCCGTGTGCTCTCTGCCTCGAAAGTGTAACAGCTCCCTGCCCGGGTCATGTCTTCAGGTCTTGGTCTCGTAACGGGGCTCTGTGTGCACGTAATAATATCTGAGTTTTTTTTCTTCCATTAATTTGTGTCATGTAAATTTACTTCTTTGTCCAGCTGGAAGATCTTAAAGGTCAGGAGGAATTTTTCCCTCCCTTTGAACACTGCTAAAGCGTAACAATTACATGGTCATGGATTTCATTACCCTGGGATCACAGGAAGGAAGATGGTCCCATACCGACTTCTGAGTTGCCATTGTTTGAAAGAGAGAGAATATGTTCCTTTATATACATATCTAAAGGAGAAAAACAATTGTAATTAATTTCTGTGTGTTCCAGATATTTCTGGTGCAGATCTCACTGGAGCCTTGAACCTGAATTTCATTTGATTTCTACATTTTGGCCCTCTCTACCCTCAGACTTAGATGCTGCATATGAAGTTACAAGCAAAGATACCCTTTTTGTGTTTAAAGGTAAGTGCTGTGCAAGAATTTTAATTTGATGAAATAACTTCCATTACAACAATTTCACCAAGACATGAATTTTCTCCATTAAGTTAAATTTATTTTATTTGGTTTATTACTGTAAGGCCTAATGTTGATGCTTAAATAGGATGTGTACAAAGAACACTATAAGTCCTATTTTAAATATCCAGTGAGAGGGTGTCTGGATGGCTCAGTGGGTTAAGCGTCTGCCTTCGGCTCAGGTCATCATCCTAGGGTCCTGAGATCAAGCCCCACATCGGGCTCCCTGCTCAGCAGGAAGCCTGCTTCTCCCTCTCCCACTCTTCCTGCTCATGTTCACTCTCTCACTGTCTCTCTCTCTCTGTCAAATAAATAAATAAAATATTTTTAAAAAAATTTTAAAAAATAAAATATCCAATGAGACCTAATAGATGTTATCCCATGTTCATGAATAGAAAAATAGTAATAACTAATACAGAAATGTAACAATAATAATGTAATATAGTATAGTATAATAATACTAATGTAATATAGAAATGATAGACACATCTGGATACACAAGGAATTTTCCATTCAAATGCCAAAATATTTTTTTTTCAAATGCCAAAATATTTTTCACAGAACTTGACAAATTAGTTCCATAACTTGTGTGGGAGAGCAAAGGCCAAGAATAGGCAGGATGGGGGCCCTGGGTAGTTCAGTCAGTTAAGCAGCTGCCTTTGGGTCCTGGGTCCTAGGATCAAGCCCTGCATCAGGCTCCTTGCTCAGCGGGGAGCCTGCTTCTCCCTCTCCCTCTGCCTGCTGCTCTGCCTACTTCTGTTCTTTCTCTCTCTGTCAAATAAATAAATAAAATCTTTAAAAAAATAAAAAAGAATAGGCAGGATGCTCCTGGAGAAGAAGAAGATGAGGAGGAATGTCCTGCATTGTAGCACTTGGGCGGATGAAATAATGCAGTGTCAGTGCAAGGATGGGTGCAGTAGCTAATGGGACAGACAGGGCCTCTCTGCTCCTGTATCAGATTTGTAAACTGCTGTTTCCATTTGCCCCACAGTTAATCTCCTCTTTGAGCTGTTATTACTTCTTGAATCAGTTTTGCTAACATATTTTTCTAAAAATGTATTAACTTGGTCTGTTTTCAAGTCAACTGGTAAGGAACTTTCTGAGTGTTATTTTCTTATTTTCATTATTGCTGAAGTTTTGTTCCCTTTGTCCTTCCTAATACTGAATCTTCGTGCTTCTCACTTTACCCGTCTCTGGGACAACAGGATGTGTAATGATTTTATTCATCCTCTCAGAGAACGAACGTTCAGCTTTGCTAATCCTCTCTATTGTGTTTTGACGGTCTATTTAAGTTGTTTCTGTCTGTAGCGTTGCTGCCCCGTCTGTGCTGTCTTTGAACTAATTCCGTTGTGTTTTACAGCTTAAGCTTGGTCCTTAACTTGCAGCCCTTTCTTCTTTTCTGGTGTAAACTTATACACCTGCAAATACCCCTTTCTTCTCAACTTTTGCTTCATTCCTACAAGGTTTGATATGTAGTGTTTATAATTTTGTTCATTTTTCAGGGTGTTTTTTTTTTCAAATTCCATTTTTAATTTTTTCCCTTGACTCTGAAGTTTTGCGGAAAATGGTTAAACCTTGACCTGTGTGGGGATTTTTCCAAGTTAGGTATTTCTGACAATCTCACTTTTATGAGGAGTCAACGAAACGTTGTGCGGCTGTGCCGGGTGTCGCAGCTCTGAAGCGCGGCGCTCGTCCGTTGGTTCACCCGGCGCGTACGTGGTCTTGCGACGAGCCGGGCGCTGTGCTCGTTGGCGGGCGGCGAGCCCGAGCGAGGTTCCTGTTCTAGAGAAGGCGGCAGAGATGAAGCTGGGAGTGTGACACGCGGGCAGAGCCGGGTGGAGGGTCCAGCCCCGGCCCCACACCCAGGAGGTGGAGTGGAGGAGGAGGAGCAGTTCAGGATGCGTGTCGAAGGGAGCTTTGCTGTGTGGTCAGGGGCTGAGCGTGTAGAGGGTAGAAAGGGTCATCAGGGCAGAAGGCGCCGTCTGCCCCCGGGGGAGACCGCGCAGGAGCCGGTCGGACGGGATCGGCCTCACCGCGACGGGTGTTTCAGACGTGTCAGCCGGGCGGGACGTGAGGCAGGGCTTCGGGGTTGGCCTGGAGGGGAGGTGTGAGGAGGAGAAGCAGAGATGCTGAGGGGTCCCGCTGCCCTAAGTCGCTGAACTCCGGGTGGCTTCCTAAGGTGTCAGAAGAAGCACAGTCCGGACCTGTGACCACGAGATCCCAGGGAAAGTGTCCCGTAAGCAACCGACTTAGTGACACGGACACACGAACAGCTCCACGTTAGACACTTAGGTTAAGAAGTCACCAGTGACCAGGACCAGTCACCGTAATTATAAACTGTAATAAACTCTCGTATTTATAGATAATAAACATATGACCCAGAAAGGGCAGGGACCAGAGTTAACGGCTCATTGACTCACTCGCTCCCTCGGGGAATATTGGTGAAATACTGGCTATCGCCTGGGCTTTGGGTTAGCGGTTGGAATTAAAACCAAGGCTTCCGGTTTTGCACAAGAATGTACCAAAACCTTTTCTAAAACCACAGTCTTCACTAAAATTTTTTGGCTTTCCTTTTTCAATAGGAAGTCAGTTCTGGGCCGTGAGAGGAACGGAGGTAGTAGCAGGTTATCCGAAAGGCATCCACACCCTGGGTTTTCCTGCAACCGTGGGGAAAATTGATGCGGCCTTTTCCGATAAGGAAAAGAAGAAAACGTACTTCTTCGTAGGGGACAAATACTGGCGGTAAGACTCGGATGGAATGGCTTTGTATGAAGCCTCGTTAGGGAAATTACCCTCTTTCCTGAAGGAACTCCCTCACTCCCACCCTCTACCTGCTCTAACTTCCAACCTTCTGATTGTGAAGAAGATGACTTACAGTTACTCGGCTTCTCCCATATGATAAAGGGCTCTCAGAATGGCTGGGCACTGGGTCATAGATCCAGACAGCAGAAGACATCAGGAGAGGCCACCTGCAGTCGTCCAGACACCAGGCCTCCATGGGAAGTGCAGGTGTGTCAGGCTGTAGAGACAGTGTCTACAGGGCAGGTGAGAGAGCAAACCAGGAGCTTTTCAGCCAAATGACGAACTCACTTCCCATGTCTTGTGCTTGTGGTCCTCAAGCATTTCTGGCAGGAAGGCATCAGGGCTCTGGGTCAAGGCTTGGAAACTTGACCTCAGACATATGTAGAGAGAACCCCTATGGCACAGCCTGATACTCTGGTCCCTGGAGAAAATGTTGGTTTCTGTGCTAAGCTTATCATCGGGGAAAGTGATAAATTTTTGTAGTCCTAAAGATGTTTGACGCTTGTTTCCCCTGATTTGAGAGTGATCTGGGATCCCACACGGGGGCAGTAACACGACGGCATGCGTGACGTGGAGCTGTGTTTCCTTCACTCGGTACAGATTTGATGAAAACAGCCAGTCCATGGAGCAAGGCTTCCCCAGACTGACAGCAGATGACTTTCCCGGGGTTGTGGGGGTTGACGCCGTGTTTCAGCACTTTGGTAAGGAGGTTCTCCTTTTGTTGCCAATGGGGACGCTCGGGGACATTTTATGGAATCAAAATCACGTGGAGAATCCGAACGATTTTCAAATCACTCAATCTTATACCCTTTTTATTCTAAACTTCTGAACTTTTAACTTTCTAATTTCTGTAATTGGAGTTTAAATTTTGTTTTTCCTGAATAATTTCCAAGTCTCTGCTTCATACCTGCTCATACTGCCAAAGGGTGCTTTCTCACACCATGTGACTCAGGTCACTACGTTGCTATAAACATGCAACCAGGTGTGAGCTAAGCTTACAGATGGTGGGTGTACTTTTCCTTTCTCATCCTCTTGCCTGCTCTCTCCCATCCCATCCAGACCTACCTGGACTTCTGTGGCAGTCACAAATTGCCTACATTAAATAATTCATTTGTTAAAAAAAAAATAGTAGTCTTCCCGTGTCCTTGAGATAGACGAAATTTGATCCCTAGTAACGGGCAGATGAGAAGGTAACAGCTGTGCTCGTTCTAAGAGAATTTGCAGGGAGATGCGAGGGTTTGATGATCCTAACACACATGAGGCTCATGATCTTATCACTAAGACACTTGATTTTGGTGTGTGTGGAGTGGGCAGTGGGCCTCCGGGGCTTTTTATGGTTGGCCTGATTCTCTTGGGTTCAACTGCCCCCCACACTGCACTTTAGGACCTAGTGGGGTAAGCGGGAGTATTTAAAATACCATAGAATTCTATTACTTTGGAGACTGCATAATCTAATGTTTTAAGAGCTCTGGCTTTGAAGTCTGAGGAGATGGAGTTCTTCCTCCATCTTTTCTTAGAGGTGATACCTTGGGGAAACCACAAACTCTCCCTAACTCTCACTTTGTTCTCATTAGTGACCTCTCCCATTTTTCCTGGAAGGAGAGATGCCACGAATCATGCAAACACGTAGCACAGTGGCACACGCGTGCAGCCACTCATCGGCGCCGTCCTGCACTAGCTCGCTCTTGTTCGGAGTTACGTGTGGTGCAGAATGGATTCACTCGAGGATCTCTCATTATTTCCCTCGTCTGTATTTCCAGGATTTTTCTACTTCTTCAGAGGACCATTACAGTTTGCGTTTGACCCCAATGCCAGGATGATAACACACACACTGAAGAGTAACAGCTGGTTGTACTGTTAGATGAGAAAAGGAGATCGTTCAAATGAATATAATAATTATTCGCCTAATTTATTATAAGTCAAAATGATGCATTTCCCCCTCTGTTTAGTGGCCAAAGAGCATGAGCTCCGTAGACATGTTCATGTCCTGGAGCATTGATCTGGGCTCCTTTACTTGCTGTCGGATCACGCTGAATGGAAGTGGGAGGCAACGGTGGGCACCAGTCAGAGAATGTATCTCCGTGGGCGTTTTATTTGGTATTTAATAAAGATTTTTAATTTTGACCCGTTCCTTCTTCCTAGAATAATTCACTTTTAATACAATGACCGCAGTGTGGGTTGAGCCCTTCCCTGAAGTTCTGTCAGTGGGTGCGGAAGGAGGACACCCTCCCCCGCTCTCTGTCCCTCCACCCACAGGACGTTCTTTCCACCTCTGGATCTTTACGCATTCCTTACACACCTGAGGAAGAAAGAGCTTGGTCAACAGTAGTCCTGTAGGACTGGGTCTCGACAAAGTCGGGAAACAGAGTTCAAGAATGTTTGGGTTTAAGAAGCAAATCGTGCAGTGTGTGTTCTCACTTACATGAAACAAAACTAGTCTGAAATCCGGCCGCCTTTTTTTTTTTCTAACCCAAATGTTCTCTCAGTGGTGCCTCTTGACTGCCCTGGAAGCCCAGTTTCTCCCATCATCCTCGTTCGTCAGTAGAATGTTCTCTGCCTCCCGTTTTCTCGGCGCTAGCAGCCGAGTAGTCACAGACTCTGAGCACTTGCCGACCTGGGACAGGCTCGCGGCCACGGAGTAGTGCCTCCCACCCCGCCAAGGGCCCCCGGGGACTTGCTCCCTCTCCTGTCGATTCACTCAGATGACGGACACGGTGTCAAGGACGAGGAGTCGGGCAGTGAGGGAGACTCACGGAGCCCAACCTCTTCGAGTTCTGTCTGGTGGGAGTAAGAAATCAAGCACAACCAACACAAAGCGATATATAATTATGAGGATGTTATTAAAGAAATGACACAGCGACAGGGAGAGCGGTGCTGGGGCAGGGGGAGCTGCCCGCTGAAGTCCGGCTGCTCAAGAACCCTTCCTGGGACAGTAGCACCAGGGGACAAGAGCATCTTCTTCCGTCAGCCAGCGGGGTGGCTGGGAGGAGGTTCCCTGCTCTGGGAGGAGAAAATGCAGAATAATGTCCAGGCGCAGAGGCGGAAAATCTTGGCGTGTTCCAGGGTCTGAGAAGGTGGTGCCTGATTGTGTGTCGGGGGAGGGTGTGGCGTGAGGAGGTAGGAGGACTCCGCTGTGTCCTGTGTATTAACGAGCCAGGTCTTACTTTAAGGGCATCATGGGTTTGCTGGAGGAAGTTTTTTTTTAAGATTTTTTTTTATTTTATTATTTGACAGACTGAGATCACAAGTAGGCAGAGAGACGGGGAGAGGCAGGCTCCCTGCTGAGCAGAGAGCCTGATGCGGGGCTCGATCCCAGGACCCTGAGATCATGACCTGAGCCGAAGGCAGAGGCTTAACCCACTGAGCCACCCAGACGCCCCGTTGGAGGAGTTTCTGAGCAGAAAAGCGACAGGATCCAGGGCGTAGGTAGAACGAGCTCTCTAGCTAGAGAGAGCTGGAGGGAAGTGGTGTTGGGCCTTGGAGGACAGGTCAAAGGATGCTCAGAGGTGACAGAGATTGGGACACACCGTACTTGAGATGTCATCTTAGCGTCATTCGGACTCAGCAGCACGCTGGTCCGGAGGGCAAGGACGGGGTTCGGAATGAGAACGAGTGGGTTTCTGGCCTGAGCACCTGCAGTAGCTGAGGCTCTGGGGTCATCGAGGGGCGCCTGGGAGAGGAGCAGTTTTGGGGGACATGGTAAGAGTGAGGAAGAACCGGCTCATTTTCCTAATTTAGCGATTCCTGCGAGGTGACCAAGGGAAGGTGTTGTCGGCCGTTAGATGGAGGGTCACGGAGCCCAGCACATGGGACATGAAGCTGTGGGAGGCAGGGGACGTCTGTGAAGTCGTGGGACTAGGTGGGGGTGCACGGAGAGGCTGCGGGGGGGGAGAATGCGAGGGACTGGGTCCTCCCACCCAAGTGTCGCTCATCCTGGGCCGCGCCACGGGAACTCCCAGCTCCCCGGTCTCTCTGGGTAAGACTGAAAGCCCATCACGGGCCCTGGTGGGATTTCTACTCTAGGCTCTCCCTGTTCAAGACCCAGGGGACGGAATAGCCTCCCCAGGAGGACACTGTGCAGATGGAAAGGGTTGTTGCTATGTTCCTCCCCGGCTCCTAAGATCCCACGGGGCTGGAACAAACATGCTTCCGGGCACACATCATTGGCCGAAGGAGACGTGGTCTGCCTCATCTAATGCCAGGACGCAGCAGCGCCGTCCTGTCGGGAGCCCGAGCGGAGTCAGAAATCCTTATCACAACCACCAACGTAACCAAGAGGATTTTCTTGTGCAAAAATATGTAATATTTAAATTTCTCCTTCAAATATTTTATGTTCTTTCCACAGTTTGGTGACCGTGGCCATTGCTGCTATAAACATTAGGGTACAGATGGCTCTTCTTTTCACTCCATCTGTATCTTTGGGGTAAATACCCAGTAGTGTAATTGCAGGGTCATAGGGAAGCTCTATTTTTAATTTCTTGAGGAATCTCCACACTGTTCTCCAAAGTGGCTGCACCAACTTGCATTCCCACCAACAGTTTAAGAGGGTTCCCCTTTCTCCACAACCTCTCCAACACATGTTGTTTCCTGTCTTCCTAATTTTGGCCCTTCTAACTGGTGTAAGGTGGTATCTCAATGTGGTTTTAATTTGAATCTCCCTGATGGCTAGAGATGATGACCATTTTTTCATGTGTCTGATAGCCATTTGTATGTCTTCATTGGGGAAGTGTCTGTTCATATCTTCTGCCCATTTTTTTATATGATTGTCTGTTTTGTGTGTGTTGAGTTTCAGGAGTCCTTTATAGATCCTGGATATCAACCTTTTGTCTGTACTGCCATTTGCAAATATCTTCTCCCATTCCGTGGGTTACCTCTTTGTTTTGTTGACTCTTTCCTTTGCTGTGCAGAAGCTTTTGATCTTGATGAAGTCCCAAAAGTTCATCTTTGCTTTTGTTTCCTTTGCCTTTGGAGACATATCTTGAAAGAAGTTGCTGTGGCTGATATCGAAGAGGTTACTGCCTATGTTCTCCTCTAGGATTCTGATGGATTCCTGTCTCACGTTGAGATCTTTTATCCATTTTGAGTTTATCTTTGTGTACAGTGTAAGAGAATGGTCGAGTTTCGTTCTTCTGCTGTTTTCCCAGCACCATTTATTGAAGAGACTGTCTTTTTTCCACTGTATATTTTTTCCTGTTTTGTTGAAGATTAATTGACCATAGAGTTGAGGGTCCATATCTGGGCTCTCTACTCTGTTCCACTGGTCTATGTGTCTGTTTTTATGCCAGTACCATGCTGTCTTGGTGATCACAGCTTTGTAGTAAAGCTTGAAATCAGGTAACGTGATGCCCCCAGTTTTATTTTTGTTTTTTAGGTGAGATTCTTGAGGTGGAGTCCACACGAACAGCCCGAAGTCCAAAGAGGGAAAACATTACTCACTGAAAAGTGTTTCCCTCCCAACTCTCTGCCATCTTTCCCGGAGGTGAGCACGGCTGCCAACTCCCACGAGTCTGCCCGTCCATGCTGTGCACTCATGAGCATGTCCCTGAGCCTCGTTTCACCCCCAAATGTAACCCCCAAATGTAACCAGTATTTTGATTTTGGAAACAACAGTGTAACAAGCATCACCTTTCATCTGCCGTTTCCGAGCGAGCGCTCCCATGGAAAAGCTGCAGCGAGGAAGGGGGAGGGGTGAGGGGGCAGGGCTGGAAAAGCAGCTCCCTGATCAGGCCATGCCAGCCCTCCCAGGGCCATCCCGACAGCGGCAGCACGGATGGCCACGCGGCAGAAATCCAGTGGTGGGTGTCAGGAGGGCGCGGACTACACGGAGCCCTGGGTGTTCCACGCAAACGATGAATCATGGAACACGACATCAAACACGGACGACGTACTGTACGGTGACTACCATGACACAACAAATCAGAATGAAGGAAGGAAGGAAGGAAGTCTGACCACTGCGTCCAGGGATGATCTGGGTGTGGGTGGGCCGAGTGGTTCGCCGACTAACGGGAAATGTCCGAGGACCGTCCCCAAGGGCTTCCTCTCTGTGGTTCGGCTCCGCACTCAGAATGACACTGTAGCCTTCAGGCTGGATGTCCGCCAGGGCCTGGAAGCTGCAGCCTTTACCTCTCTTCAGTACGTTGTCTCTGTCCACCAAATAGGGCTCCGCTCCCCTCTGGTCGAGCTGCCCTCATTCCTGGGCCGCACGGAGTCAGGCACCATGGGAAGGAGCGAGGACCCCCACGACTGGCTGAGACCCGTGAAGGTGGGAGGCGGCTAACCCCAACCTCACACCCTGCCATGGTGGGCAGGGCGGGGGGGACAGATGGGACGGAGAGACCGCAGCGTCGGCATTTTCCACCTCGAATGATGGGAGGTGAGAAAGGGCAAAGTGTGCACAGTCTTGGGGAGATGTTGGCAAGGAAAACGCTTCCAAAAATGGTTCTCTTATGTGTCCAGGCTCCTGAATGCCTTCATTTGGCTGAGGGATAAGGAGGATGTGGACTCTCCATCTATCGGCTCTGTACAAGGTGCGTCCCGTGTGCAGGACTGGCTGGTCCTCGCCGGAGCTGCAGTGGACAGTGCTGTCTGCCTGCCGCAGAAACGGAGGCTCAGAAGGACAGCCTTTCCCGGGGTCAGCAACGGGCACACGGTCAACTAGGACTCGGCTCCAGAACTCTCTGGCTCCCAGCATCTTGCTTCCTGACGCTAGATCAATAGACCATTCGCTGGTCAACCCAGTCTCGTTTCACTTTGTCCCCATTAGGCACTAATTAATGTCATTTCTTTCAGAGCCACCCAAGTTCGCTGAGCTTGTGCTTCCCCAAGATAGCCGCACGACCTCGCAGCCCTTTCTGATTCTGC